TCGAGGACTCAACAAGATTACTATCAAGAATAGGTATCCACTACCTTTAATATCTAGACTTCTTGATCAACTGAATCAAGCTAAGATCTATACAAAAATAGATCTCCGGAGAGCATACAATCTAGTATGCATCAAAGAAGGAGATGAATGGAAGACTACGTTTTGAACTAGGTATGGACATTTTGAATACAACGTCATGCCTTTTGGACTTATAAATGCACCAACAGCTTTTCAACATCTAATGAATGATGTTTTTTGAGAGTTTTTGGATGATTTTGTGGTTTGTTATCTAGATGACATCTTGATCTATTCTAAGAATCCAAAAGAACATGAACTTCATGTTCGTCGTGTGTTACAAAAATTAAGAGATGCAAGACTCTATGCCAAGATAAAAAAGTGTGAATTCCACACTACTCAAGTCAATTTCTTAGGTTACATCATTTCAAATGATGGACTTATGATGGATCTTAAGAAAGTTCAAACTATTATAGATTAGAAGATCCCAAAAATGGTAAGAGATGTCCAATGTTTTTTGGGATTTGCGAACTACTATCGAATCTTCATCAAGGACTTCTCTCGAGTTGCAGCTCGACTTACACATTTGACTTGTAAAGACAAACTCCAATGGAATCAAGAAGCGGAAGTCGCTTTTGAATCTTTAAAGACAACGTTTGTTTCTACACCAATCTTGTATCGTGTTGATTTTTCCAAAGCATTCTTTATGGAAACAGATGCATCAGACTTTGCTCTGGGTGTAATTTTATCACAAATGGGAACACATGACAAACTTCATCCAATAACCTTTCAATCAAGAAAATTCTCAACAATAGAAATCAATTATGAGATCCATGACAAAGAACTTCTTGCAATCGTTGATTCTTTTTAAGAATGGCGTCATTATCTAGAAGGCGCTTTCAGTCCAATCACCGTGTATATGGATCACAAGAACCTCGAGTATTTTATGTCAGCACGCATATTAAACCGTTGTCAAGTACGTTGGAGCATGCTCTAACGTTTCAGCAGCAAGATATTTTGGATATAATAAGACTTTGGAGCTGATATCTAGGGATTTTTGGTGGCCTCAAATGTGAAAGGCAGTCAAAGATTTTGTACAATCATGTGATGTTTGCTCAAGATCAAAAACTCCTCGTCATCGACCTTTTGGACTTCTTCAGCCATTACCCATTCTAGAACAATCATGGTCTTCTGCTTCTATAGACTTCATCACGGATCTTCTAATTTCAGGTTCTTATGATTCTATATTCGTGATAGTAGATCGTTTTACTAAGATGGCACATTTTGTACCATGTACAAAATCTATCACAAGTGAAGAAACAACTAAGCTCTTTCTTGACAATATCTATCGCTATCATGGATTATCCAAGAATATTGTATCAGATAAAGGAACTCAATTTGTATCAAGATTTTGGCGGACTCTTTTCAAATTTCTTAAAGTGGATATTAAACTATCTTTGGCATTCCATCCTCAAACTGATGGACAAATAGAGCGTGTTAATCAAGTTTTGGAGCAATATTTAATATGTATCATTAACTACCAATAAGATGATTGGACAACTCTTTTGCCATTGGCAGAGTTTGCTTACAATAACACGGTACATTCTTCTACAAAACAAACACCTTTCTTTGCTAATTATGGTTATCATCCACGACTTGATACTTTTGACTTTTCAAAAGTTGATAATCCTATTGCAAAAGATTTGGCGATTCATTTATCAAAGCTACATGCAATGATAAAGGCGCAGTTAAAAGAGGCTCAAGAACAACAAAAGGTCAATGTGGATGTCTATCGAAAGGATCAATCAGCATTCCACTTGGGTGATAAGGTATGGCTACTTCGTCGCAATATCAAGACCACTCATCCTTGTGACAAGTTGGACTATCGAAGACTTAGACTATTTTTTATTTCTGCACAAATCAATCTAGTTGCATATCGTTTACATCTACCGGAGTCAATGAAAATCCATCCAGTATTCCACATGTCTCTTCTTGAACCATAGAAGACAGTGGACATACCAAGAAGACAACAAGCTCCACTTCCTCCTATAGAAGTGGACAATAATGAAGAGTTTGAAGTAGAAGAAGTCTTAGATTCAAGGTGGCACCAAAATAAATTGGAATATCTTGTCAATTGACGCGAATATGATATTAGTGAATGCACATGGGAGCCAATAAAAAATCTTGCAAATGCAGCAAAGGCGGTGGAGGCTTTTCATCGACGACATCCATCAAAATCAAGATGAAAACCTTCTTTATAAAAGAAACAACATCTAGGCAAGATAACATTCTACTTTCAATCCCTGTTCGTAGCTTCTTTGTAGTTGTGACGCTCAGGAGATAGAGAACCAACAACCAGCGGATTTGACTCAAGAGCCTTCATTTGCTGACCTATCGGATGAAACATTACGATTGTCACAACCTTCAAGATGATGCAATCGAGATGAAGATCTTCAAGAACGACATATTCTTCCTCGAATAGATGGCGAGATACAACGCATTTGGTATCACAATTTGGGAAGGGACTCCCGATGTTTCGTGATTTTGCTAGAGGTAGGAACAACTCCTGATGGTGTTTCAAATGTTCTATTCGAACGAAGTTATGAAGGCCTCAACAATGATCAAATAACTGGGTGGTCTTGCCGCCCTGATATGGAACACTACCGATGGTTGAGAGGCCCTATAAATCATCTTCGAAGAGAACAAAGATCCGAGTATGTAGCGAATATAATTTGTCACATCATAGATTTCCTCAACATATGATGATCGCTCCTCATGGAACTCGTCCCTAGAAAGGGGGGTAATGTCACGAACATACTCATGTAAGCTAGTAATTACATATACAAATAGGTAGAAGTAAATAAAAGTAGAAAAAAGTAAGTTAATTCTATAGTATTTAATATGGAAGCTTCTTAAAAGCTTTATAGACGGTGCTTTGACTTCATAGGTGTCTTTAATTGACTTTTTGGATTAGAAACATGGTCAACAAGTTGGCCATGTGCCACATATGTTGTTAGCTTGAAGATCAAGCTTACTATGTGGCCCACACGTAGAAAAACTTGCCTTGTAAGTCATGGCATGTGTCCTACAAAGTCAACACATATTGGAGGTCCTATAGAACATCGCCAAGTAGCCCCTAATTAGATAGTATATATAGAGACAAGAGTGAAGCCCTCTTCACTGTTGTTAATTCTTTTCTTGCTTCTAATCTAGTTTCAAGGGTCTCTAGTCTTCTTATCTTTTGGCAATAGCCATTCCAGTTTCTCTTTCAATATACATACTTATTTATTTATATTTTGTTACCTTTCTTTGAGTGAAGGCTCACTTGCCTGAATTTCTTTTTTATCGAGTTCTTGTCCTTGATATAGATTGGTTGAAGGCAAAGTTAGAAAAAGAGTATGAAATGAGTGATTTGGGAGAGCTTCACTATTGTTTAGAAGTGGAGTTTGTAAGAGATCGTGCTAAGAAGGCCATGACAATGAGCCAAAGCAAGTACATTGAAGAAGTATTGAAACGATTCAATATGGAGGAGTGTAAGCCTATTGGAACACCACTGGAGGCAAACTTGAAGTTGATGAAGCTCACGGATGAAGGGTTTATTGAAGTTGAAGGTCAAATATAAGGTGTTCTATACAAGGCAGCAATGGGCTCACTTATGTATGCAATGGTTGGCACAAGGGTGGATCTTGCATATGCGGTGAATGTTGTGAGTCAACACATGTCAAGGGATGGACCAATCCATTGGACAACCATCAAAAGGATCATGAGGTACTTAAAAGGCACTTTGAACTTCAAATTATGCCTTGGAGGTGATAACATTAGTTTGCATGGTTATTGTGATGCGAATTGGGTTGGAGATGCAAATGATAGAAGGTCAACAACGGGGTATGTATTCTTTATTGGAGTGGGAGCAATTTCATGGAATTGCAAGAGACAACCAATAATTGTAAGGTCAACAATGGAGGTGGAGTATATGGCAGCAAGCCATAGTGTAATGGAGGCAATATGGTTAAGACAACTTTTGGAGGACATTGGAGATGTGCAAATAGAAGCAACTCCAATGGAGTGTGACAATCAAAGATGTCTTACATTTGCAAAGAATCCAAAGCATCATTCAAGGACCAAGCACATTGACATTCAACATTACTTTATAAGAGAGAAGATTAAAATGGGAGTGATTGATATGAAGTATTGTTCAACGGAGGACATGCTTGCTGATTTGTTGACAAAGGCATTAGTAAAGGATAGACATCACATGTTGACAAAGGTATTAGGCTTAAAAGCCATTTGACCAATAGCAAAGTCGGAGTGTTAATATAAAAGTAAAAAATATTACCTTGTATAGGATATTACCTTAAGTAAGTTGCTAGTGGTCAAAGGTTTGACTCTTGGTATATGATAAGGACATCCAATGGATATAGGACGAAGTCATGGACCAAGAGTCAAAGTTAAAAGGATAAAGTATTAACAAGGAAATATCCAAAGACTAAGTATGAGTCATTAGTATGTGTCATAGGATACCCTCAAAGTTCGTGAGATGCCAAAGAATCTTAAAAGCATGTATGTAAGACGTAAGAGTAATTAGTATTGGACATAGGATACTCTTGGGACTCGTGAGATGCCAAAAAGATCCTAGGGCCATGTGTATAAAAGTCAAAGAATGGACGTTGTCTTTTAGTGCAGAAACTACCACCTATAAGTAATGGGTATTGGAAGTGAGAGACATCTTACTCTATACTCTTTTTATGTACAACTTTGCTGATGCTAAGTATTGTATCTTCTAAGTGCTTGTTTTCTTAATAATTAGACCTTCACTTCAGCCTTTATGGGCTGAACACTATGTACAAGTAGCCAACACAAAATAACAAAACAATTCAATATCTACACCCATAATCCCACGATCAAATATGGACAGATGTTCAAGCCCAAGAAACAAGAAGCTATTATTCATAAAAGTAATTCACATTCGGACACTTTACAAAAAATGCAATTTAAAATGATTTTTTTATAACAATTGTTTAACTGCAGGACTAACTTTCAAAACTAGGTCTGAGCTATGAGGTACCTAGCCAAAAACACAAACAAATTGAAACTGCGACAGAAAAAAGAAGAAAAAAAGTACAAAAAGAAAAACTACTGCTAGATTTCTTCTGTTCATGGGACCAGAAGCAAATCTTTACCCGAGGGGAAATTGAAGGAATAAAAATCTTTACATGAAGCGTTTGTAAAACTGGTGAAGTAATTTGTCCACTTGTAGGAGAAAATCGTGAGACGGTCGAAAACTACGGCTAATTTCACTATAACCTCGTGTCAAAACATGTTGCACTAAAAGAAATAACAGTCGACCCTCAGTCTTTTTTGTTTTTGTCCTCGTCGTCTGAGTCGTCATCTGAATCTGAATCTGAATCCGAATCTGCAAAGAGTAGAGATCAAACGCCAGGAACGTCATGCAAGCTAAGCTATTGTGGAAGAAACATTAAGGAGATGTAACATCAACAAAGATACAGAAAATTCAGAAGTCATGACTCTTGGCAAACATAAAAACAAACTCGTGTTTCGCCAGTGAAGAGCGAAGATAGCAAGTAATACAGACTCAGAGAATGTCTTAAAATTCAAGAGAGAACCTAAGATAGAAAACTACCAGAGCGGACGTCATCAGATAGTTTGCCGCGGTCTTGAATCTGCCTAACTATCATACGCCAGATCAGAACCCACCAGTATATATGCATCACTTGCAAGGTGATCAACAAAGTGTTGAAAACGTAATAGTATACAGGCCCTTCCGCCATAGTCCTGTCTAAGTATTTCAGGCACTCGTAGCTGTAGCAAAGAAAATCCAATTGTTAAATGGCTGATGAAGTGCTCAAACTCGCAATCTCTCAGCAATTCAAGTGAGATGCAGCAACAGCCTGTCCTTGAGTTGCAAAAGTTCGATAAGAGAAAATACCCATATCTGACAGGAGCAGTAGCATGAACACCCTACCTAACAGAATCTGAGATTAACTGCAAGGAGTGAATGAAAGGATGAAGGTACCTTGTACTTCTTATGATCATAAAAGGGAAAATGATGAGCCGCAAAACAAGCCATGATATAGCAAACAAAAGGAATGAAATGCTTGGAATGATCTCCAGACCGCTATATTTTGTCATCTTCCCTATTTCTAGAAATACATCGCTAGCATCATGCACAGCCAGGACCACAGATCCAACACGAGCTAATCTGCCAACCAAACATGGCACGTCAAAGCTCAGTTTGTGTATTTCCTCGCGGTTCTCAACTGAAAGAACGTCGATAAATCACTTTTGTCAGCATTCCTCAAGTACGAAAAAAGTAACTTATCTTTCAACTTCAAGCGAATGCTCTTCACTCCCAAACAACTTGCTGAGTGTTCCATAGATAAACAGGTCAATATAGAATCACACATAGAAGATTGCTGAAATTTACAAACACGAGAAAGGAGGCTTACTTGGCAAGATATGAGAATACGATCAGCATCAACGTTGCAATATGATGCGACATACTGATACCAAAATCTGAACGCCGTGTCTCCCAAAACAAGAGGGCAAAGATGCTGTAGGTATAGAATCCGCCAGCAAATCCGTACAGAAACTTCAACTTCTGTCTGAGTCAAGATTACAAAGGTGCAATCGAAGTGGTAAGTTCGTGACTAGTAAGGAAACTAGGGACTCTATGAAGTTTGTATTTAGACAGAAAAGACGCATTCTATACAAAAAATGAAAACGCATCTACACACTCGGCCACTGTCTAGTATTCTAGAAGGAAGTCGCGTCTATCGAGGCTGGATTCGCAAACTCACAACGATTAAAAAGGAAATTCTAAATATGTAAGAGTGACCTTTATGAAAGGAATGAACAAGAAGAGAGCATACTAGCTTGACTTCAAATTAACTAAACAAAAGTATAGTCACCTCATAACTGGTTGTAACGAACAGAGTAGCAGGACTGACTTGGAACACTGTTCCTGGCATCATACAGGTGATGGAGGGTAAAAACTGGAACGAGAGAATGAGCTGCTGATAGTTCCATGAAACAATGGCTCTTGAACGACACAGATGAACCCGGTGAATACCACAACTTTACAAGGATGACATCCAGGGATACATCTTACTTCATCAGTTGATCTGGCCAAGACCGATCACCAGGTCCAGTCCAGAAGTATTTGGTCGTCGTAAACCATGGCTCATCTTTTGTGACCGCCAGAGCTAATATTTCGGCAGATAAATAATACACGCACTTCCAGGCAGACTCTTTAAATTTGACCAGCTTCTTGCGCTGAGTTTCTATCTCCTCCGAAGAGATCTCCAAAGATGATGTGTATCCGGAAATAAATCTCCGCCCCAATCTCTACATCCAAACGCACAAGTACAATCTCAGTCCTCAAAGTCCATCAACTGAAAGGTGAAGGCCAACTTGTAGCATATCATCAAGCCCCACCATAACAACTACCTCGTCCAGTAATGATGAAGGAGAATCTAAGGCATTGATTAAACTTGCAATTGCCTGCATCATCGGCAACACTGACAAGTACCGACTGAAACGGAGAACTTCAGCACAGAACTGCCTCTCGTGAGCTTAAGAGAAAAAAGCAGTGTGCGAAGTGCATTCATTGAGGGGGAGGAATAGAAGGTGGTGTTAACAACAGACGCAGAACAGTAAGAAAAATAAGTGGAGCTCGATTGAACAATTCTATTCTTATCCAGTACGTACACTGAGCTGCAAGACGTTTGCAAAAATTAGAATCATAACATTCTGTAACAATGTGGGCCGAGAGTTCGAGGTCTTCTCAGAGTAAAATGCCAGCTCAAAAAATAAATCTACTCAAGCGCATCAAAATGGTTCCCAAGCGACCAAAATTCCCCCAACGTCCAAATTCTATTCTGAACCAGAGACCCGTGCAGAAAGCGAGAAAAAAAGAAGTTCAGCGATACTACATAAACCCTACTAACAACCCACCTCGAACACTAGTTTGTCGAGGCAGAAGCGGACAGTGAAAAACCCGATCGCGAACAGAGGCAGAACTGCGAGGTCATTCACAGCGGGCAAGCTCTCTGCTTGCCAGTCCAGCGATGTAGCCCATGCGGGAGTCTCCCCAATCACGCCCATTATGGTTACTGCATCAGCCAAGCACAAGTCGAGAGAATCCTCCACTCCTCCACTCCTCAAGGGTCTTGAACACCTCCAGGGCCTTCCAACTCCCTCGTCCCCCCTGCTGCTGCTGCTGCTCTCTCTCTCTCTCTCTCGCTCTACCGTACTTTCCTTGCTCGCTTTCCTCACGCTCTCACGATTCACTCACTATACTGTCACCTCCCAACATCCACCAAAACCAACCTCAACAGGGAGCATCGCCCCCGTCACTGGAACACCCCCACCCACGACGACCGGGACCAAGACCGAGAGACGGACCAAGAGCAAATACGATCGAGGCAGGTAAGCAAGCAAGCACGCACGCACGCAGGCAGAGATTTAGAGGGGGGATCCAGAATCGGAGGGAGAGAGAGAGAGTGTGTGGTGGATGAGCGAGCCAGACGAGGCAGGAAGGAAAGCGAGAAAGCCCTCCCTTCCCTTCCCCCCCCCCCCCCCCCGATCCCTCCCATTTCCTCCCCATCTCCACACCCAATCCCTGGTTTCTCGCCTCCTTCTCCTCCATTCCCTCTCTCATTCCCCTGCCTGGTCCCGCCGCTGCCTCCGCACCCACTCCACTCCTGTAGGGGGGGGGGGAGTAGGGGACTAACTGACTAACTGAGTGAGTGAGTGGGGCATCCCGTCCAGTCCCCCTGTGTCCCCACTCCATTCTCGGTCCAATCTCTCTCTCTCTCTCTCTCTCTCCGTGTCTCTCTCTGTCTCTCTCTTTGGCTCTGGCTCGCTCTGTCTCCGCCGCAATTGCTTCCCCCTTACTCTTTCCTGAGTGTTTCATTGCTTTGCTCTCTCTCTGTGTATTATTGCCTTGTTGGGCTTTTTCCTTCCCTGCGTGGGCTTTCAACCTCGTGATTTACTTTATGTGTGCAGGGAGAACAACAACAACAACAACAACAGTTAGAGGCAGAAAGATAGATATATATATATATATATATAGAGAGAGAAAGAGAGACAGAGAGAGACAGAGAGAGAGATATAAAGTTGCGGAGGTAAAATTATTCAGGGAGCACCTGATCGGCCCTGGTTCCAGGGTGTACGGATTGCGATCCTCTCCACAATCATCAATGCATTCCAGTTACCCTACTACTTGTGTCAGGGAGAAACAGAGAAAAAAATCAAATCTTTTATATAAAAAAAATAATAATAATAAATTATCAATTATCAATTATCAAAATAACTTCTTTTCAGCTTACATGCATAATTATAGCTGTGAAATCATGTGTGTGTTATTTTGTGTGTTGATTGATAATAAGTAATTACAGTTCTTTCAACATAAATAAATATATTAAAATAAATATACATGTTTTTAATTTTAATATTAAAAACATGTTACAAAAAACCAACAAAAAAATTAAATTAAATTAGATAATTTCTCATCTTGTAACAATTAAAATAGGTTTATTCATTTTGTTTTGATTCCAAGTATTGAATATAATTTCTAACTAAAATATTATTCTTTGAAAAATAATAAATTATTTTATCTTAGATTATTATATCAAATAATGCTTTGTATATCATGTGTATTTTTATTATGTTTATATATATATATATATATATATAGATGCATATTGAATGTATTTCTTATATAAAACAACTCAGGAGGATAAATCAACAAGATAAACTAGAGAAAAACAAAAATCATCTTTGATTGGCTGCATATGTCATTGTTTTCATCAAAAGTGAACCAATAATTCAAATTTTGATTAATCCGATATCAAAATCTGCATGATGCTGTTGCATATTATCAAGAGTAGCATTGCAAGATTACTACACATAGAGCTCAGAAGCTCCCAATCAAGGCTGTAATAAGCAACAATGCTTCTACTGTTGTGGTGGATTCCATCTGGTAATATTTTTGACATTAAATTTTTGAGAGAAAATTAGTTTGAGTATGGACCAGAAAGAACATAGTTGGATGCTTGGTATTGTATGAAGTATGAGGATTGATTGCAAGAGCAAAGAGGGAAGACTTATATAAAGGAGGGAAATTAGAACTTAGATATTGTGAAGGAGGAATAATGTAGGAATTAGGAATGCATGGGATTAGAGATGATACTTGGCTTTGGCTTGCAAGTGCAAGAGAGGATGTAATTAACGCTACAGCTATTGTATCAGGTGTTCATTCCAATTTCTTTTTTATATCCCATATCATTGGAGCTAATGTGGAATCCTGTGATGTTATGCACATAAATGATGTTCAACCATTGCCAGCATAGAGCAGTGGCTGAGACTCAAGCACAAGGCACACCCTACAAATAATCAAATTCTCAAGATTTTGTGACAATGGCATATATTCAACTAGTATATATATATATATATATATATATATTATATAACATATACTAACAAATCATTTACAAAGGTGATTTTTACAATAATTTAAACATTGTGTTATATATATATATATATATATATATATATATAATTGCTTCCAAAAACACATCTTTTTTATGGATTTTTTTTTTAATGATTTTTTCTTACATTTAAAATACCCAATTTGAGGCATCTCAATCTATGTGTGTAATAACTAACACATATTGTAGAAAATAAAATAAACAAAATAAACAAAATTGTTCCTAATATACTTAAATATAACATGTATTGGTTCAATTTTAATAGGTTTGAATATGATAAAATAAATGGAAGGTAGTCATGTTGGTGCTTACAGGAACAAGCTAAAATTTAATTCTTTATAAAATTAAATAAAATAAAAATAAAAAATCTTTGGTAGTTTATGAATTATTTTGACGTTGTCTATCTTTTAAATATTTTAAAATATTTTTAGATTGTTACATAATATTCAGTATAAAAAAAGAAACCGTGGTTGGATTTTGGGCCTTAAGAAGCTTAAGAAAAAAGAATTGTATTATTTCCTTGTAGGTAAAAATACATGAAATCAAAATTGGTGTCTGTATAGTTGAAATATCATCAAAAACTTGTGTCATTTATCGTATGAAAAAAAGCTGTTCAATGAAAATGTAAAACTCCGTCTTGACTTTAACATATATAGACATACATGGAAAATAATAATAGTAACAATTTCTAATTCTTCAACTAAATACTAAAATAAAATCTACAGTAATTAACCTAAAATATGTCCAATATAAAAAGACATAGCTTAAATATGCCACAGAAATAGGAAAAATTTAAATAGAAGAAGAAAAATAAAAATAAAAATAAAAAGAAGAAGATGGTGTGCCTAGACTCGATGTCACAATAAACAATTTTTATATCCAAAATACAAATTTCTAAGTCTTTAGTATTGGTCCTTGTTTTAAGGGTTAGTATTTTTCTTCCTTTGTCGAATTCCATGCAAGAGCTTTTATTTTGATATATTTAATCTATTTTAAACATCTAGTAGTATGATCATGTGCAATCAACTATACAATCTTAAGATTATTATCATTCATATCTATTATTTTGTAATAGACCAAGGATGGTGTTGACTTAGTTGGAGCTAGTTTTATTTAAAGCAGAGGGATATGATTATCTGACAAGCAACCTGTGGAGAGTTAAATGCATTTTGGCCCATCTTTTTCATTTTAACTTGTCATAAACTTTAGAGCGAGGTTACCAACAAGCTATTCATTTATATTCAAATAAAGGTACAAGTTGCAAAAAAAAAAACGCTTCTTCAACACTTATTTATAGTTCTATCAGAGTACATCACAAACTTTTCACATACAATGCAATAAACTTAACATGGAAAGGGACAATCATAAATGAAATTCAGTTAAATAGTATTGAATTTATGATACTCTCAACTGGGTTCAACTGGAACACATCTATGATAATCTCAAGAAAGTGATATTTATTTATTTATTTATTTTTACAAGCTTTGCCATTCACATGTATGGATCAACCGTGACTGAAAACGCCTGTAAACCAATTTAGGGCAGAAGTCATTACCAAATGCTTGAAAACTACCATGCAAAACATTATCAACCCACGTATATTTTTATTTTATTTTATTTCATTTTATATTTGCAAATCTAGATTAAAGCATTGTTACAATTCAAGCAGAAACGACAGGAAATGAAGGGTTGAGCAGGTGTGTGGGGAAGCCAGGCTCACCCCAAACTGGAACTCTGTCACCTCGTTGATCATAGCTGTGGCTATGGTTACGTCCTCATGGTGTGGCTGTTGCTGCAGCATTGTCGAAGGCAAGGAATCTGCAACGATGTGGTAGACAGATTGATCGAGCTCTGGAACAATCCACAAAAGATTGCACATCTAGGATGCGCATGACTCCCCACTACGCTGGGCTGAGGATGCCGTGAGGTGGCACAGGATTGAAACCCACATTGCTTCAATGCCAACACAGAAATCAAATCAAAGCATGTCACCAGAAGCATTCAAGTCAGCACGGTTCTAGAGCTAACTGTTCGAGTTCGCGAAAGCTGCTGTAGGATTCTTCTTTTGGTATTTTTTTTGCAATTTTATGGGCTTTTGCTTTTTACCTTGGAGATGGAGCTATCAGCAATTCCTGTCTGTCTTTGCATGAGGCTTTTTTTCTCTAAGTCCGTCGCTCCTTTGTACTTGTCCAACCACTGAATGCCCTCCTCGTGTGCATTAACCTCTTGAGCTTACCTGAACTGCTTTGGGTCTGCACCATCTGCACAAGGTCTACTGCATTCGGTTCACTTCGATTGGGCAATGACAAGGATGGGTTGGAAGTGAGAGTAGCTGCAGCAGCTTTCACTGGGTTCGGAATCATTGCAACATCGCGGAAAAAACTAATGCCGGAGCTCCGTGACAGTTCACGAGGTCGTGGGGTCTTTCACTACAAAAAACACTTGCTTCCAAGTAGTGAAGATATAGACAGTGGGGCGATGTCGTTGATGAGGATTGTTAACGTCGCTCGCCTTCTCGCAGTAATTGTGACGATGTTGTAATCTTCGAGCTCCCCAGTAAAACCCCGCAGAACAGGGCCCTGATCCTTCCTTGTACCCTGACTTATCAGAAAGGAAACAAGCCACCTCTCTTTCTCATGCTCACGCTGTGGCATTCTCTGCGTGACAGAAAAAGAGACATCGTAAACACTATTCCGAAAAACCAACAAAAAGAAAATGAAAAAAGAAAAAAGAACCATGGTCCAGCATGACAACGGCGATGGCGAGGCGTCGGATGCCTCGTGAATCACTAGCCTCCTAAAATTCAGATTCCCCAGCCTAACGGGAAGGGGGGCATGAGCACATACAATTGAGCCACAAGCAATGGCAGTGAGAGTCAGGGACAGGCCCACAAACCCATCATCGCCCTCTCTTCTGGATAGACAACGACCTCCTGGGAGGGCGGTTGTAGGTAGAGGAGACGTTGCCACCGTGCCTGCCATCGATTCCTGGATTCTCTCAGCTTCTCCCACCTCGGCATTGTCTGCAAGATTTGCGAGAAGCTCGCTTTGTTCTGTGGATCCGAAATTCTTTAGTCGTTGCTGTAGAAACATTCCTCGGTCATTTTTCGTCTCTCCGAGGAGTTGGGTTTTGGCCCTTGCATAAACCTGCACCCCTGCAAATGGTTGAGTTTGAGTGGAAGAAGAGTGAGAGGTGGTGATGACGGGCTAGGCTTGGGGATTCGTTTTCGTGAGGCTCTTCGTGGATCTTGCCGTTAGGTACTTTTCTTTTCATGGCTTCGAATCTGTTTGACTTAATATATATATATATATATATATATGTATAATTGTTATTTGTATTTTGTACTTTTTGTTCGATGCGTTGGAGCTCCTGAGTTAATGAGTTTTTTCGACGAGTTAGGAAAATGTTGCTTCTCAGTTGATATTTAGATGATGAATGAGAGGTGCTTGTAAGCGATTTTCAGTTTTCACGTTTTTGGCGAAGAGTGGACAGTGTTCTGAATTCTCGTGCAAGTGTGCTGCTTCCTTGAGTTGTAGATGTCTTGTATTACGTCTGTTTGATTGGGAGTAGAGAGAGCAGGTTGTAAATTCTGGAGCTCCAATATTTCTCGTCGATCTGTCCAAGCTCCGACCCTGTATTCAGTGTTGGAGAATCTTTTAATTGGAACAATTGAGTTTTACTTGTAATCCTTTGGTCATGATTCATTGTGCCGGGTTCCGCATCATTTAAAATTCTTATTATTTTATTTAATTTCAGTGCTCTCTGATTCTGGTCTCGTTACTAGACTTGTTTCTACGTTTGGCAACGGCTTTGTAATAGTCGCAACACTACTCGTATGATATATTAGTCTCTGTGAGATGTCTCTGTGTATATTTTTTCTCTGTCTCGAATTTTGATGTCAATGCACAGTAGATGCAATGAAGAACTTGCAGTGAGGCTGTCTCGGTCCCCCAACTGGTGGTTTATGCCCTTCCTTTAGTTGGCTTTGTTCTTTTACATAATACCTAGGGTTATATGGATCAAGCGTCTAACACTTTAGTGCATTTTAACTCTCAATTTTGCAGCCATCTGTGAGTTCACATTTTGACTCAGTAACCACAGAGTAGCAGAATGTCGAGAAGTAGCAATGGGCTTGGCTGGGCGGATCAATGGGACCCGATTCAAGACGACGTCCCAACCAACAATCCTCAAAAGGCATCTTCTAAGACCACCAACAAGGAGAGAATGGCGAGCGCAAAGGCAGCTGCAAGCGTTGGCGTGCATAAAACCAAAGCTGCTGCAATAATAGGAATGCAAAAGACGAAAGTTGTTGCTTCGATTAGTGCTCAAAAACTGAAAGCGGGCACGACCGCAGGCATCAAATTGATAAAAGAGAAGACTCAGAGGAAGTAATTGCGATGACTTTCAGTTCATCAAATGGTGGAAGTCGTCTTGGAATTTCTGTTCTTCCACAATTGTTTGACCGAATGTGTCTGTAACCTTCTGGATGCCACTCGGGAATCTTCACCAATGAGCAGGGGTTACAAAACTGCATTCCAGGGAGGTAGACCTCGTAGTCAAGGTATTGTTTGCACAGAAAGCATCAGAGGACAAGAAAGGTCACTGTAGGCACATTCTGATTGTACAGCAAACTGAAAGCTATTTGCGCGGTGGTCCCCCTGTTTTGTTTTTGCATAATTCGCGATTGTTGTTTGGTGGTAAGCTATTGTCAGATCAGGTTCATGAGCTATTGCGTTCCACTCATTCCTTGAATTAGAAGTTGTGCACGAAACAAACATTCTCGTATTGATTTAAAAAATTCTCTTCACTCGATATCCTCATCCTTTAATAACGATAGAAATATTTGCCATGCTAATGATAGTGCAATGAATATCTTTCAATTTTTGTCCTGTGGGTTAGTTTCTCTGTCGAAGACCGTTGAGGAAGCGGTATCAAAATTATCTCAGCAGAATTTTGTGTGATGGCGATATGGTTTCTCTCGTGAAGCTTTTCCAAGTTTACCTTCAGAGAAGCTTCGAGAAGTTAATGAGGCCTGGGAAAGACGATACCACAAACGTATCCTTCACCTGATTCTGAATGAGCTGCGCTGGGCTAATTGTGTAAAGTGTCCACTTCTGGAGGTTTAGGGCTGCTACAGTATTAGAGATCATTATGCGGACATTATGGAAATCGAACACTTCCGTTCTTGGAGGTTGCATGACTCTTAAAGTTGCACTGATCCCAAGAACGTGCAAATTTAATAGACCTGTACATGGGTGTCAAACATGAGACCGTTGTGATGGAGTCTATTTAACCTTCTGAAGTGTGTGCTTGTGGATGAGTATAATGTTGCGGAATAACTGCTGTTCATTGAGAAGGTCGCAGTTATTGTAATGGACTTGCTCTCAGACCCTGGACTCTGTGATCATGTTAAGTTACAAAGCACTTGAGAAAGTAAGACGTAATGATTGAAACCTGTTACAAGTCTGAAGATAAAACAGGGATCGTTTGAAACTTAACCGTGTCAGTTTTTTTCTTTTTCGTGAAACAAAAAAAAATGGGACATAGTTTTAAAAATTCACTACTTCCTCAGTGCTCGTTTCTGTGGTTCCTAAGTTAGACGCACCTTTCACCAGCTACATTGTGCGACTGTACACACAACTTTACGTCCAAATGCAAACCAATATCCTGACCATAGAAAAAAATGGATATATTCCAAGCATGAGATAATTGCCAAACATTGTCTCTGATAATCTGTTAATTTTTAAATTAGAGAACCCATATCCTCCTCGGACACACTGCCCCTGTTAAAGGAAAACAGGAGGAGGAAGAGGAACTCCGAGCAATCGAACATTGTCACGACAACAAATCAAATGTCTCTGATCAAATTTATCTCCGAAATAAAAGGGGCTCTCGGGACTCAACTACTTGCCACCGCCTCACATATTTCGAAACCTCAAAACGTCCTCGACGTTCGCCTCGCATCCAGGCATTGCATGCCAAAATTAGCTGAACCATCCACGAGCAACCCAAATCCGGGAAAAAAAGGCAGCCAAACTTAGATCTGGGACATTTTCGGCGAGAACTGCCTGAGGAAAAGGCAAAATCTAAATTGAAAAGGGGAAACCCTGCTCATGTGCTCGTGGTGGAACCCATAAACGCACTCGGAGGGGACCTCAATAATACGTCCCCCTGCTGCGGTCGCAGTCTGACGTGTGGAGGAGAGATTCGTAAAAAAATGGCATAATAACTTGTGGCCTGGAAGTGCATGTGGGTGTGATGTGGCGGTGGTATCGATAATACAGCTAGCTGCAGCTTCGGAGATGGTTCCTGAAAATCGCGTGTCCAGCCAATCGGAAAGTGCGACAGTTAAGCTGGGTATAGAAAATTTCAACCCAAGGAGTTACATAATGGCAGGTTCCATCCATGGCCTACGCCGTGTGGTCGGTTTCAACCGATCGAGAGGAGGAGGAGGATGAGAATTAGATCTGTTCGTAAAGCTCCCTGACGTTGCAGTCGTCTTTCCTTCCTGGGTACTTGAACAAGTTCTGGCTGGAGCCAGAGCAGCATCGGGGAGAGGACCTGGTGAGGAGTGACCACTCAAGTGGAGTGATCGTGCGGAGGGATTGATCGTTTGCGCATCGTGTAGCACGCGGTGCTGGGCGTGCTTTGATTGTAAGCATCCCTTCCTAGCTTGCATGTTTTGGTCTTCTAAATGTTGGGATTTAGTTGGGCTTTATGGTTTCTGAATGTTGTTCATTGGGTGGAAGTTTTGTAGTTGCGTGTGAAGATCGCTCGATAAGTCAAAAGGTCTCCTATTGCCATTTCGCCTCTCTGTTTAGATACGGAGGGTCCGTTCTTGGTTTTCTTGTTCTGGGTTTTGGAGATTTGGTGAGTTTCTATATTGTGGTTGTCTGTGGGTTGTTGGTTCCGGGCGTGCCCAGGGGACATTAGATCTGTACTTTGCGTCTTATTTTAGGTTGGTTTTTGAGTTTCTGATGTGAAACTTAGATGCATCGGCCCAGATATCTCTTGTTCAGGTTTTTGGTTTGTGCGTTATGTGTAGTAAGTGATGGTGTTTTTTCCTTCTGTTGTTGCTTAGACACTTTTTGAGAATATATATGTATGATCGCTTCTTGGGGGAGGACTTTCTAGAATGTCCCTCGATTCCAGTCTCTTTTGTAGGTGTCTACTGGGTTTGTTTGGATTTGAGTATTCAGGAACAATGGTACTGGATTGTGTATTAGGGGAACAATGCTCCTTTGCCTTTTTGGTCCCCATGTGAGTCATCAGTTGTGACTACTAGTACTGGCTACTTGTTAACATTTATGAACTTTGCCAACATCTTCTAGATATTTTCGCCCTCTCCGGTCCTCTCTTGAGTAACCTTGTACGTTGAATGCCTTCGTCCTTGTCAGATGTGATCTGAAATTAGCTTTTGTCATTGCAAGATTTATCGGTCTTTTACAGCATTTCTTTATCGCACCCGACATACATCTAGAAGTTATGATTGACTCCTATCTGGCTACCTCTCCTCTCTGTTCGACCAAAGCATATAGGAACACCTCCAAGCTAGTGATATCTTCAATCGGAAGATAGTAGCCTATCTTGTTTCTTGGAGAACTCAATGCAACGATTTTAATAAAATGCTTCCAAACAGTCTGCAGGTTTGAATCGCTCTTAAGATGGCGTTTCCTAGGGGGAGGCAAGAGCCTCGCCGGAGCTCATCTTTCTACATCATCTCTGGAGCCGTATTTGTCGCTGCTTTACTAATTGGTGTCTGGGTTTATTCCAGTCCGGCACCCGTCCGTGAAGAATCAAGAGTTTCTAGTGCTACCTCGAAAGATGCTTCATCTTCTTTTGATGAGTCAGCGAGCGATAACACAGTTGTAGACGAGTCTCCGAATACTTCCAAATCTGATGAGGCGCTGGATGAGCCTGCTGATAAAGAAACCCTGACCACAGGGACTACTGAAACCACTTCTAATGAGTCTGATGCTTCACAAGGCAATGAGTCTGATGAGGAGAAGGAAGCGTCGGAAGACACACCCTCTGATGATGCGACCTCCACTACCACAGACAGTGCTTCACCTGTTTCAGAAGAGGAGAAGATCATCGAAGATCAGCAAGATCAGGCGACAACACCTGCTGTTATTGAGTCAGAAGTGGGTAAGAATCACGATGAGAAGTTCAAGTGGAAGCTGTGCGATTGGGAGAGTTCTCAGGACTACATTCCTTGTTTAGATAACAAGAAATGGCTCGACACGCACAGACGCCACAAGCACTACGAGCACAGGGAGCGACATTGTCCATCGGAAGAAGAGTTGCCCAAGTGCTTGGTTCCCATCCCAGCTGGTTACAAGCCTCATGTCAAGTGGCCTGAGAGCAGGGATCAAGTAAGATCTCCTCAACATTACATAGTCAGCTTTACCAGTTATTGAAATTTTCTTCATTCTGTTGGTGTCCCTGGATTTTCAATCCTCTTTTCTCACAGTGGACCATATTTGGCTGCAGATTTGGTATAACAATGTACCTCACACTGGTCTTGTTTCCTACAAGGCAGATCAACAGTGGGTGAAGAAAGCTGGTGACAAGTTGGTTTTTCCAGGTGGTGGTACCCAGTTCATGCAGGGTGCAGGACACTACATTGACTTTGTCCAGAAGGTACGTTTTATGTTTTTATTTTTTTAATCAGGAATGTTGTTATTTGTGCTGAACTTAAAGACATTTTTTCAATTGTTTGTATGTAAAAATCCTCTGGAAGGTCGGCTGACAAATTCCGTGGCACGAATTGCAGATATATCCAGCTATTGAGTGGGGAAAGCATACACGGGTTTTGTTGGACGTCGGATGCGGAGTGGCTAGTTTCGGGGGCTATTTGTATGATAGGAACGTACTTGCAATGTCCTTCGCGCCGAAGGATGAGCATGAGGCTCAAGTGCAGTTTGCTCTGGAAAGAGGAATTCCAGCATTTTCATCAGTCATGGGGACTCAACGCCTTGTGTTTCCCAGCAATTCTTTCGATGGTGTGCATTGCGCTCGCTGCCGTGTCCCTTGGCATGTTGATGGTGAGTGTGATCTTGCGCTTATGTCCTTTTAAGGCTACTTCCATTTACAGTTCGTTAAACATTTAAGTGACACACAAGAATATGTGTAGAAGTGAATGAAGTAGGATGTGCAAAGCTATTTGGATATTTTGAAATCTTGATATACTTCAGTGTAGGATTTTGAGATCGTGATTTTTTTTTCGTACAGGCGGTTTGCTATTGCTGGAGTTGAACAGGGTCTTGAGGCCTGGAGGCCTATTTTTATGGTCTGCTACCCCTGTTTACCAGGACCTGGAAGAGGACGTACAAATCTGGAAAGGTAGTAATTCATCAAAAAATGGTGTGCTTCGAGTTACACGTACCTACAAATTAAACAATCTTTTTCACTGGATTGTTTTCACACAAAGACGGCATGTCCGTCCTCAACTCTGCGTTTATGGATCTCTCTGAAGTAGAAGCGTCTAATGGGTGAGTTAATCGCGCATTACTGTTGTTACCCTGCAGAAACCACGGCTTTGGCGAAAGATATGGGCTGGGAGATGGTTGCCAAGGAATTCGACGAGGTGTCTAGAGTTGGTGTAGCAATTTTTAAGAAACCTGAAAATAACACTGCGTACGAAAAGCGAGAAGGCGACGTGCCCGAAATTTGTCCTGAAGATAACAAGCCCAATGCTGCTTGGTGAGTGAACGTTCATCTCGCACTATTTTTTATATTTTTATAATTGGTAGGTAGTTGTTGTGTCGAGGAAAACTCTATCCCAGACTCCAGCAAGAAAGTCCAATTTTGTATGTTGTGCTTGTGTAGACCATTATTTTCTGTATGGCATTCACTGCACTTGATTTTTATTTTTAACTTTATTGTTAGTGCATCAGCTTTAGCAAGCAGCACGGAAATGCTCGCCATCTTCTCTGCTTAGTGAGCTGCCGTTTCTTTTACATAGCTCGGTGTTTGATGTGATATAATGTATGCTTCCACAGGTATGTTAATATGACTACATGTCTGCACAAGATTCCTGACACCAAGCGCACTGAATGGCCCGAAGAGTGGCCTCTGCGAGTGAAGGTTGCTCCTAAATGGTTGAGTGAGAAGGACACTGGTATATATGGGAAGGCCGCCCCTGAAGATTTCCGTGTGGATACTGAGCACTGGAATAATGTTGTCAATAAGACATACTTGACTGGTCTTGGGATGGATTGGACCACTATCAGGAATGTGATGGACATGAGGGCCGGTTATGGAGGGTAATTGTTTTTCTCTGGTTCTCAATCATGCATTCCTTAGCATGCATTATGGTCCAAAGCGAGATCGTTTTCTGGAGCCTAGGATTATATAAATTAAGAATTCTCAGGTGAAGTATAAATTTGAGGTTGTGTTTTTATGACCTCATCTAGCTGCAGAATTTCGCGCACTGATTCTTGAAGCTGTTGCACAGATTTGCTGCTGCTCTCATTGACCAACCAGTGTGGGTACTGAACGTTATCCCCTCCGATGAGCCAGACACTCTACCTATCGTATATGACCGAGGTCTGATTGGAATGTACCATGATTGGTGTGAACCGCACAGCACTTATCCTAGGACTTATGATCTTCTCCATGCGAATCACGTCGTCAGCTCAGTTGAAAGCAGGTTGGCATTCTACCTGGTTCTGTTCGCATTTAATTTTTTCTGGTTGATTTGTGAGTAACCAGCGCGGAAAATTTGTTATTGCGGAACTTTTTGTTCCATTCGTCACTGCTATCTCTTTTCACAACTTCATTACATGATAAGTGCTGTGATACTCAAACCAAGTCGACTTCTCACGTCCTTTCAGGTGTGGCGTCGTAAACCTGGTCATGGAGATGGATCGCATTTTGCGGCCGGATGGTTGGGCTATTTTCCGGGACAAAAAGGAGACTTTGGCTAAGGTAGCTGAGATTGTTAAGTCACTTCACTGGGATGTGACCTTGACCTTCAACAAGGAGAATGAAGAGCTCCTTGCAGTCCAGAAGAGATTTTGGAGACCAGAAGCATCGTCATAATTGTGTCAACCTTAGTGTGCAGCAAATTCAGAAGTTGTGAAGTTACGTATTCTCAGACTGTAGGGTTTAGGTTAGAGCAACTAGACTAGAAAATCATATGGAGATTCTGTCTTTTACAACTGTATTTCCACGTTGTCCCATTTATTCTGTTGACAACTTGATTCCAAAATCATTTGTAACGACTCGTTGCATAGTTCTGCGTTCCCACATTCCTTCCGAGAGGAATCAGAAATCGTGCGTCATGGGCCTTGATCATCCTGCAGATCGGCTGGGGCCGCACCCTCACTCTCTAAAGCTTTCAAATTGATAAGTTTTTTGAAAGAGCTTTTGAGAGAGAAAATTATAGCCCTGCGGTTGTAACTCATTCCCTCAGCATAATACAACACTGGACACAACCTTTCTCAACTTCCTTTACGATATGTATTAGTGAAACTGACAAGAGAAAACTGTTCACATATCCCTCTCTACGTGTTTCTATGATTAATTGTTTGAAAAATGTGCAAAATGTAAGACAATGTAATAAGCATGTATGAACTAATAACAAATCAAGTATATATATATATATATATAAATACTGTGTTAACTACTCTTAAAATTATCAACTTAGTACAAATGTGAAACCTAGAAGAACCAAGAAACACTAGCAAAACTTGTCTATGTTAGAACATTCTAAGATAGTTGAACAATATTCCCAAAACTCAAGTAGTATATGTAAGTGCATGACAAATAAGTTATAGATAAGGAATGTTAAAATTAGAGATACAGTAGTCTTTTCTATGCATGTATACAATTGACAATAAAAGAAGGTTGTTGTCAAAGCTTCAATTAATTTGCCATATTAATAGTTTTGTAAATTAATTTGCCAAATAGAAGAAGTTTTATAAGACAATTTAATCATAAGACTGATTTACAAATATTTTCAATAGAATTTTTATTAAGGAAACTCTTAAATTATCTGAAGAAGTTTTAAAATCACTTTAAAGTCTATATCAATTATGTTATCTCTATTCTTGGGCACAAAATTTAATAAGTTCTTAATTATATAAAATTGTATAACTTGTCATGTTTTTATTAATAAATAAAAATTTATTATTATTTTTATTTTAAATTATACTTAAATTTGGAAGAAGAATTAATGTTTTCTTTCTTTTTGAAGCAATTAATTTTCATTGGATTTTTTTATGTATAAATATATAGAGCATATCTTAAAAGCTGTTTGTTGTTTTTAATTGATAATCAGTAACACATCAACAAATTTATCAACAAAACTATCTAACAAAATTTTAATTTCTAACATTTTAAAAAATAATTCTTTGATAATTACCAACTATGTTTATTAAAGACAAAATGCTAGCTTAAAAATGATCAAATTTAAGATGTAGAATAATGTTAGATTTTGACATTAACATATTGAAGTACATTTTTTTAATAATAATTGTATCCATTGTATAATAATTTAAATAAAATATTTAAATAATGTATTTCATTATTGAAATATTCCAATGCAAACCAACACTCTCATTGATGTCAAGTTTATTTTTTTTATATTATAAATTATTTGATTATATTGAATTATTTCATATATGGTCTACTTCTAATTAATTATGTTTAAAATTCATGATAATTGGTATAAAACTATTCAACAATGATTTAATACAATTTAATCCCACTTAAAATTAGTTATTAGCTATCACAATCTTGAAGCTTCAATAGAAATAATAAAACCTCTATGTCCCAAGATCTAAATTTTGCTAGTTACTTTACAAATAATATTGTATTTTCTATACATAGATTAAAATTTATTATTATTATTTTATTATTTTATTATTTTTAAAATCTTTTCAAGAATAATAAAAATTTATGATAAAATAAGTCTATCAATGAATATTTTAATAAATTTTACTCAAGATATTAGAATTGGTTCATTTTGTAGTTGAAGTCCAATAATAAGTTATACTTAGTTTATAAATCTTCAAAATTTAGACTATTATATTCTTAAGATTTCTTTTAATATTTTAATGAATGGAAATATATTTCTATAATATTATAAAATAATAAATATATATATATATATATATATATACTTGACGTGAAGCAATTGTTGAAAAAATATTTTTAATTTGTATATCTTTGTACCAAATATTAAAGACCAGCTAGTCATAAATCAAGACAAATTTGAAAATGTTGACAAGTTTGGAAGTAGTCTAAGTCTTGCGTCTAAATACACTAATTAATAAGGTAGGTACTTAGAAAATTTTTAAATTATTTAAGGCTTGCAAAACAAATATCCAAACTGTGGAAGGTTTTCATTATAGTTTTACATCTCCATAAAATTTTAAGAGAAGTTTCTATAATTACAAGGTATTCCTAATAACTTTGTAAACTTGAACCTAGTTTAGAAAGCTTTAATGAAGTTTTACAAGGATTTATTTTCTATTAAAATTTATATAATTTTAATTATATATATTTAACTATATTTATTTAAATAGAGTGAATGTCAATGATATCAACAAATATTACAATTAAACATTCTAAAACTCTTGTTTTAAAGCTTTTGAATGTAAGACCTATATTTGTAAGTTTTAAAATTAACTAATCGTATATATTTGTGTAAAATTGAGTGAATAGTACACATATTTCTATATAGAGTCTGGGGTGGTGGTGGTGGAAGTCTACTATAAATCCTTCTACTGACACACCTTCCATAGCAATGTTGCAAACTACAATACATGTCTAAATCCCATTAGCTCCATGGTTGCAAAATGATCCATTATGTTTGATGGAGTCAGTGTGGAATATTATTTTATTTTTGAACATATCACATTCTCAAGCTATTATGTCAACAAACATTGCGATACTTAAGAACCACCTACAAATAGATTTAAAAAGCATCTACTTGCATAGAAACACAACTACTAGCATGAAACAATGATAATTACAAAAAAAATTAATAAAAAAAAGTAATAGTAGTAAATCCTAAGAAGATAATTCATTTAAATAATTGCAAACTTTGACATACAAAGCAATGAAAGTAGAACCTTCATTCTATGCTCCTATCTTAGTACAATTTAGTTTTTCATTGTTTGATTTAATATGATATTAGAAAGTGGTTGCTAAAATAAGATGGTAGAAACCTTGACATTACTACCTTGTATACATAGTAAGGATAACATGGCAAAAAATAAGCTAATATTTTTTTAATTCTTGAAACAATAAGAAAAATAAGAAAAATAAAAAGAATTTGCTATAACAAAACATCAAAGTTGAGTTGTTACTTAAGCTTAAGCAAGTCAAAAATTCAACTTTAGAGCACTTCCACAAGCCAAGAGCAGGAGATTCTAAGGCAAAGAGGAGAATTGCCTTATATTCCAAGTATCATGAACATAGAATCAACATTATCAATGAGTAAGCCACATAAGGTGGAACAAATAATTTCTCAATATGGAAGGTAAAGATGTGAATACTTTTCATAAAAGACAAACTTTGGTATGTTGTTTTTTCACAAAGCACAAGTTTGCAATATATGACCAATATCACAAAGGTCATAAATTCTATCAATACTATGGTATCTCAACAAATACTACACAATAAATATATAACAATGGAAATATTGATAATGTTTATAAGACACAATATCATCCATCACATTACAAACTTTGATGATCCCATATAAGCTTCATAAGTCCTATATAATCTTTTTGACAACAAGAATATAGCTGTAACGATATTATTATTCAACCAACTACTTTTGACTACAATGAAAGAAGAGAGTTGTATTATAGATTATTTATAAAAAATAAATAGAAATTATAAAATAATTGAGGTTATCGAAAGAAGATATATTAGAATTAGAACTAATTCATGTTACACTTAATGAATTACTGCAGAGATACAAAAGACTTATTTAAGGCCTATTGGTCCTTCATGAGCTTCCTAGCTTTGAGAAGTTTACAAAAAAACTACTTGTCAAAGAAACATCATGGTTACAAAGATCAACATAATATAGAAAAGAATTACTTATTAAAGATTAGAGATAACATTTCATTGAAAGGTGACATAATGGAAGAGAGTTACAAAGATCTAAAGAGACATACTATCTATTATAACATAGATTTTTTTTGATACTTTCAAGTGCAATAGCCAAAAAATACAAATAATATAATAATTATGGCCAATAGAGCCATTAGATAAGAGAGTGTACATGTCTATGTTGGCTAAGAAGATCAATCATCAACTTACAAGCAAATATTGTAGTAGTAGAAGAAAGTCCAAAACTAGAAGTAAAACATGACAAAGAAAAAATAGAATTTTTTGACATATCAATATTCACCATAAATCTAGAAGGAGATAATTCTTAGTATCTTAATAGTAGAGCATCAATTCATGTTATAGGAAATAATACAAATTTTTGCAATCTTGACCTAGTTATGATAATAACAAATATATAATCAAAAGATAGCCATTGTCATTTAGTTGCGAGTTAGGACTCTATTACAATGAATTATAGAAAAATGCATCAAGAAATATAAAACGTCTTATATGTATTAGACATTAAAAAAACCTTTTTGTTAGTAGATATGATAGTAGATCTGAGTTGAGTTGTGATTTTTTTCTCCAATAGATGTTAGATAATGATAGAAAAATCACCACCCATTATTATAGCTAAGGAATTCAAAGATCAAATTTGGACCTCTATAAACTTATGACACCAAAGAAAAAGGAAGTCAACATTCTCAAATATTTTAATGTGTAACTTTGGCATCAGCAATTAGGACATATTAGCTATAAATCTCTATACTCATTCTTGCAAAACAGTATGAAAAATAACATATCTTACATATCAATCAATAGAGCCTTCTACTACAAATGTTTATTAGCTAAAACTCACAAAGTAGCAAGATCAAATGAGAACATTATGTGGATAACTAAAAGATATAAACTTCTACATAGTAACTTCTAATAGATATCAATTCTTTAAGATCAAACTAAGGAACATCACTAATGAAAAAATATATTGATAAGCCTATTGACTTATTTAATCTTAAAGTCTTTGGTTGTGCCACTCATATTCATATGAAAAAGCCAAAGAGAAGTAAATTTGATGCACAAACAAAACTATGTATTTTTGTAGATTATGACAACTAAATCAAGGATTATTGTATCTATGATTCAATGAAGCAAAAAAAATTGTCATAACAGATATGTGATTTAACAAACATACCATGGCATTCTATTTTTCTAAATAAATAAAAATTAATCAACAATAGACACAATAACAACACCATTGCCATTATAATTTTGAATTCTATAAATAAATTAATACAGGTTTATTCAACTTCAAATATTATCATTAATTTTCTATCTTCTAAAAATGATGGCAAAACTAATATCATAACCTCCCATGA